AACTTCTTGTAAATGTCATCACCATAGTATAGAAAACTCAAGAGACAATATAATTTGTACTGTGCTTTATGAATATGTTGTATTCGTTTCGGTAAATAAAAAGTAATTATTCCAATGAAAACTTCACATTTGTTTTCTAATTGACAATTGAAAACCAGCAACGTACGTATTTCCATTTATTATTTTGTAATACAATAAGTGTATTACAAAATCTTCTTGATTTAATCAGAAGATGTGTTTAAAACTAAAGACATTGTCGTCACGACGTTTAAGCCTATTTTATGTAAATATATGGTGAAATAAGGAGGTGAATTTGGAATAAATTGAGAGGCAAAACATACACACACCTACGCGGTACCATTATTACTGCACATTTGTGAACAAATATAGAAAAAGTAAAATATTCTTTACTGGTGAGGACCTAGTGCTCAAGAGTCTACGGAGTGTATATGAGGGTTCTCCTATCTTGCCTGCATTTAACATCTAATTTACTCATGTAATTATTATAAGTAGACTTTCGGTCAATTGTGTCTGGTTTACGCCAGTGGCATTTTTTAAATTAAAAGAATGCGTAGAAGGGAAAGCGGTTTAAATCCTCTTAAGGTTTGTTGTGGCATTAGTCAAATTTTACATTTTTTTTAAATTTTGAAGTTGAGTAAGACTAGTTGAGTATTAGGCCAGTTGCTAGTAAATTTTCGTAAAATCTGATCCATCAGACCAAAAAGCTGGATAAAATTAAGCTATTTATTGAAGAGTTTAAACGCTTAGATATGTCACGGAATTAACGGAAAAAATTATTTCCCTACTGATTTGTTTAATTCGCTCTGAATATATTTAGGTGAGGGATGATATGGTGGCAAAGCGTGGGGCTTTAGTCCACAAGGTCCCAGGTTCAAATCCTTCCAATAACCAATGGGATTTTGCTATGTAATAGAGAGACGACCATCATGGCCTAGCATAAATTAGGTGGAACTTTTCGGGTTTCAAAAGAAATCTAAGTTGCCTAACAGCATTGAGGAAACTAAATGAATGTGTTAACAAACCTCAAATCCCAAACCTAAAATTTCTTATCTAGCTCTGAAAAATCAACCTCGAATCAAGCTCGAATCCAACAAATCAGAAATCATTAATACCCCCGCCGCAGCAAACCTGCCGACTAAGCGAATTTCCATTTGTCTGAATTGATTTTCAGTTAAATATATTTTAATAACATTAGGTTTAACGAGTACCTAGGTTTGCTGCTACAAGGAAACTAATAAAGTGTGTTTTTGAGTAAAATATTGATAGCTTAGTACAAAATAAATAAATTTGCCAAGTTTGATCAAAATATATCCATAAACAAGCAAACTACAACATTTGACAATATTCTCCATAAGAATAACATGGGAATTTTAAATTTACAATTTTTTTAATTTTCTCCGTTACTAATAATCGAACAAAAATACTTTTATATACTAAATTATTTGTTTTTTTAAGCTCTTGAAAAAGGTCTAAAGAGAAATCGGGAAATTTTGTGTTTTGAGGGTCAAAAGTGAGAAAAACCAATTTTTACCCCATAAAACCCCCCGTAAAGCCCCGTTCCCATGGTCCGATCGTGCTGGTTCGCGAACTCATTCAAGTTTATCCCGCTTTACACCTTTAAACCAAATTTCATCAAAATCGGACAAAAATTACTCAAGTTATCGCGTTCACGGACGTATATATATATATATATATATATATATATATGTCTATATATATATATATACATATATAAAAATTTGAACGAATGGTGTTTTTGGCCTCTGGGGACATCAAAATGAAAAAGTAAATCGGTCCCGGGTCTAGGTCTTACCGTGCCACCTACGGTAATAGCTACTTCCCTATAGGGAAATTCGCTAAAATCGACCCAGCCTGTCTCGAGTCACAAACTGTTGAACTAAAACGACTTTGTTTTATATATTTAGATATATATATATATATATATAATATATTAGGATATATAATATTTTAGTTATATAATATTAGTAGGATAAGCCACAGAGTGTTTATCTAACACTGAATGAACTCTCAGACTCATTAATAGGACAGTTTCTCTCAGAACTATTATTACAAAGAAAAAGCCGCTCTGGCGCAGTACAGGTCTGATTTTGGGTGGTAGATTTAAGTGCTGGCGCAGTGCAGGCCTGCTACCTGGACCCACTGGCGCAATACGGGCGCCCCGACCTAGCTACCTTAATATCTTTTGAAATTAGTTCCTACTATTTTTGGGGAGCGAGCTGATCTAGTGGTAGAGTGCGGGGCTTCAGAGCCCGAGGTCCTGGGTTCAAATCCCGCCAATTGCCAACGGATTTTATCTATGTGATAATGCCGCGTTAGGACTAACCTGAAGTAATTAGTAAAACTGTTCTGGGCTAGAACCTAGCGTCCTAGGATGTGGAGGTGGGACATAAACGAACTTTTTTCTGGCAGACGAACTCTTTCACAGACAGAAAAATATGCAAACCCTAACACTGTGAGAAATTAAAGACCAAAAGACTTCACTCCCACAAATCTGACAACAATAAATCACCGTAACCCTCCAAACTATAAACTGGGTCTTGTTTACATCATTTTGTTTGTATCAGACACCCTTGAAGCTTCGGGTTCCGAGTACTTAGAGAAGTTTGTAAAATAAAACCAGCTGCACACGTTTGGCGCGGTTAGAGTTAAGAGCGCCGCCATCTTGGATAGTTTACTTGTTATTTGTTTACATCGCTGGCGCCGTGCCGGCTGTACCAGGTGGATGATATCAGGCTTTCATGTATTGTGTCGTCGAAGAGGAATTTTATCGTGGGTTGAAAAGAATTTTATTTTTACCGTCACGGTCGTTAAAATCTTGACGGATATTGATCGGATAATTATTTAAACAATCCTACATTGGTATTTATATTCAGTTCATACAGAAATAGTCGCTCTCTTTGTAAATATTCATATTCATTTGAGATGGGAAAACCACATGTACGTATTAACCTAAATACTAGTGAAGGATGAAGTGTGATCTCCAGAAGTGGAGCTGAAGACCAGCTGTTTCATTAGTAATGACTATTAATTTATTGGAAACCCCTAAAGATCAGGACAGCTGGGTCCAGTAACGAACCATCAAAAAGCTGCACACTTTTTTCAGGATCGAACCGGTGACCTTTTGATTGTTCTTATTGTCTTATGAAGAGGAATTTATAGCAGATTGAAAATATTTCTTATTTCGTTATGGTGGGTTGATTATTGACGGAAATCTTGATTAGATAATTCTTTATCTTAGACTTGAGATACTAACCCTGTTTTGGCGTTCATTTTCAGTTTACAAAGTACAAAAAAAGTACGTTGCTGTCTTGTGACTAAGATACTACTGCACGTGTAAATTTTATATACTGCATACAGAATATGACTAATTGACCTTTACATTTTTAGTTTGTGCCTCGGTTCTAACTTAACCCAAACAATATTTGTAGGCATGAAATTACATCCAGAAAAACCAGTGGTACAATGGGAAAGGTCTTATGACTTAAGTTAACAATTTTCACTATAAATCCCAACATTTGGTTAGAGGTTTTTAATCACTCACCAAAACTAGACCCCCTAATAAATAACTAGAATTAAAACCCGTGACAAATACGCCAATAATAGATGTAATAGCGCTTACACGTGCTACAGAGGTCAAATAGACCCGAGAGTAACAAAAACTACCCTGACGCAAAAACATGAGAACATCCCCAAATGAGTCTTCACACTGTGGGTGTCGGATCCGGCCGCGCAAACCTAAACAAATACTGGTTAGACAACTCTTAACATTGAGGTGGGAACTTTAATGTCGGAAGAATGGCTAAGAATGGGTTTGAAAATGTCAGAAAAGTATTTTATAGCTTGATAGTTTGGAATCTGTACCCAGCAGTCCTTTATCGTTGGCTAAAAGTATAAATAGTCTTGGATAAAGAAAAGTTCGTCTTTGAAACAAAACTAAGTGGATCATCTCACTCCTATCAAAATTAATTTTCACCTTAAAATATTTAACCCTAGGGTTTTATACACAATCTGGTACTGGCTGGTTACAGAGAATTCCAACTCGTTTTCTGTGGTGCGAGCCGCTACCGCAGTGCTTAAAAGGTGTTTTAAGAATTTCTCACTATAGTTAGGCAAAACTAGTAATTAAAAGGTCTCAGTTGAAGGTGGTCGTCTAACGTATTCATTACTGTATTCATTTTTATATTTTATTAGCCGGTAAATGTATATTTTTTAAATATGAGGTATATATGAGGTATAGTGAAATTGAATTACACCTCGAGTGAATACTGAATGTATTTTGTATGCAGAGATCATACACTATGTTTAAAAGTTTTCATTAACGCCTTGAGCGTGAAATATATTTCATATTGTAACGATATTATGCCACTTTGCTTGGTTGAAATTATTTTCGCACTCAGAAAACTATTTTCGTGTTTCGGAATCATATTAGTTTTATGTCGTTCTGTATATTTTTTCTGTAATGTGACGGTTGAAAATTTGTAGGCCTATGGGATTTGACCGTGTCAAAACCGATGACAATTAATTAACCAATTATTCATAATGGCATGAATTTAGCCCCTGACGCCAGGGCTAGAGATATACATATACTAGATATATGTACCTATATATCTAGCCCTGCCCTGACGCAGCAAAAGTGATATCTGGGCTGAAATCAAACCCTGATGATGACACCATAGATCAAAACTGAAACTTTGGAATATAGACTTTCGCCAATTTTGACTATGTCTTCTGTTAATACTGTTCTATGCAATGGCGACCATACAAAGTAGGTATTTAAGCCAAGTATGAATGGAGATGAGTGTAGGATGAGTGGCGCGATCTTGTAGTCTTGTTAGTGACTAAGGCCGACATTCCTTAGACACAGCTCGTAATTAATATCCCAAACAGCTAATGGCACACCCGAAGACCACAAATATACAACCATGGAAGCCAGTAAAATCGAAACACTTGATACTCACCAGGTTGAGTGGATGTACAGTGTTCTTGACCTCGTCATCCTCGTCCTCAAGGCACAGGACGGCTCGGAGGTGCGCGATGTAGGAGGTGGCCAGCCTCAGGGTGTCCAGTTTGCTCAGCTTGGTGTCCGGAGGCACCCAGGGCAGTGTGGTCTTCAGCCGACAGAAGGCTCTGCTCAGCACTCTCATGCGCGCTCTCTCCCGGGCGTTGGCGGCGTTCCGCTGCTGAGGGCGCTCTCTGCCGTCGTCGTCGTCACACTCGTCCTCACTCAGGGAGAGGCGCCGAGGCCGCCGCCGAGGCATCCCTGGTGGAGGTCATAGTGTTGACTTATGGATGAATGGTTTTTCCAGTTTCGATTTAGTCGAAAAATTGCAGTCGAGTCTGAATTTAAATATATCCGAGATAGATCTGATTTTGTTGGTAAAAAATCAAGTTGGAACTTTAGTACTTGATGGTGCAAAAAAAGGAAACCTAAACGCTAAGGGCTATGTTCAGAGAAATTTCCGCCCAGCAGTGCTCTGATCATGGGCCGAATGGAATATGTTGTTGCTAACAAAGAATGACACGTGTTTTTGTTTAGTTAAGTAATTGCAAGCTTTGTTTTAGTAAACTATTAATAATTTTTTTGGGTTTCCTTTTTTTGCACCACCCTGTATATATATACTAATCATATAAAGCTAATGAGGCCGAAACAGTAACCTGTTCAACACCAATTTCTTTTTAAAACGTTGATTCGATTTGAATTAAATGGTTGAAAATATTAAATTTTAAAATACAAGACGGATTTCACACAAGGGCAATTTACACTCTGTTCTTTGAAGTTATAACACCTTTAGCTTTAAGATTTTAAAGGTGGCTCATAGCCCATAACTACCATATCATAACACCCTTTTTATATACGAAATAACCTTAAAAATCCATTGTTAACATTATAGTTTTTGAGATATACTTATGTATTATAATTTCAACATTAACATGCTCTAGTACTAGTAAACAAAACTACTGAATTATGTTTTATTTAGACAATTCCATTACAATTCTATCGATACTGAATTCAAGAAAATCAGTTAATAAATAAGGGAGAAAACTAATTTAAAAAATAGTATTTACAAACGTATTTGCGCTCACATCAGGTAACATTAAACATTTTTAGCTAAAACAGTCAGCTGTTTTAATTGTTGGCTATCCAATGAGCGCAAATATTGTTGTAAACACTATCTGAAATAAATATTTCTCTCTTATTTAAAAACCAAATTTCTTAGTATTGTTAAAATTTTTATTAAATCTTCTAAATAAATTATCGGTAGTTTTTATGTTATTTACATTTGAAATTTGTTGAACCATTTGAAACAAGACATTTAAATATATTACTTAAAACAGGTCTTTGCGCTAATAGTCTATCTACCAAATTTCTATTAAATACAAAAAGCCGTTATCTAATACAAATATGTAGTTTCGTAAAAAATTTACCTCTGTATCGGTTAATTTTGAGTTTTAGAAATTTTGAACACGATATTTTAGTTTTGTTTATGGTTCAGTAATGATAACTTCAAAATTAAACTCGGGGACACCCTGTATACTTCTAAAGTGTTTATAAAATGTTGGTATATTTATTTTGTCCGTACCTCAATTTGTTCTTCTTTAAATGCCTTTTTGTTTAAGTAACATAAAAATCCATAATCCAAATCTTAGTTTTATCTTAATAGATTTATTATTGTCTACTAAATTATGTATTGTTAGAACTAAACATTTCAGTTATCAGTAAATAGTTAGCAAAAGCTTGTACAGAAGCTAAACACCTTTTTGCTTAGGCCTACCATTTATGACACAAATACTTTAGCTGAAAAAGATTAGCCACACTAGCTAATATGAGATAATACCAGTTGTATATACGAAATAACTTTTAAAATCCGTTCGTAAATTTTTGACATTTATAATGTTTGTGGCCCATAATTTGTAGGAATAATTTAAAAGTAAAACCTAACACGTAGACACGAACTCTATTCACTAAGTATATTTTTATCGTTTGTTTTAGCTAGCATTCATTTCTTCACTAACTAAAGAATAAAAAAATATTTATAAAAGTAAGCTAAATATAAGCCTAGTAGAATCTTTACAAATTTTCACTCACGATCCATGCTTCTATAAGTTTCATAATTGAGCAAATTACAAATAAATAAATCAGCAGTATATTAAAATATAAAATAATAAAAATGAGTGTTTACTTACCGTTGAATTTAATTGTCAAAACTCCGGACAACTCATACGCCAACACAAAAATGCACAAAAATGCAGCCTAACCCACAGATTAACTCTGACAGATTAGAAGTCAGATTATGGTCAGGCAGGGTGATTAGCAAGGGGTGGGCGGGGGCGGGGGTGAAGAGAAATGAGGTGTTAAGTGGGGGTGGAAGAAAAAGGCGGGGCCTCAAAACGATTGGACGGCCAAAATACACAAACTATATCCGTGCATAAACATGTCTCACTTATTTCGAGTGGGATGAAAATACAAGCCCCCCGAAGCAACTCGTGTTACTAGAAAGCAATGGATTCGGAAAATTCAAAGGAAAATAGTAATTTTAAGACGTAATTTCCAACAAAATTGGACAATATATGTTATTGAAACCTATCCGGATCGAAGGACCAAAAATATTTAGTTTTGGCGGATTTAAAGAATGTTTAACGTGCTTCGCCGTGTTCTTCTTATCTATAGTGGAAAATGGTTAAAACTGTTATTCGCCCATCACTGTCTATGAAAAACTTATTGAACTTATTGAAAAAGTTATTGAAACCTATTGATTAAAAAAATTATAACCGTGCTTCGCCATGTTCTTCTTATTTAGCGAGACAAATTGTTAAAACTGTTATCCTCCTATCACTATGTCTATGAAAAACTTAATTAACTTTTAATTGGCTTAACTTAATCAGCTGTTTGGCAGTAAAACTATTTTCTCGAAATGTAAGTAAACAAAGTGACTATAGAAGGAGCAAAAGTATAAAACTTTATACATTGCCATAACGGACGTAAGATAAACCCAAAACTCATCATTCCTCCCAGCAAAGCAATATTTTAATTTTTTTTTAGTTTTCTTTATAAAGATTATTTTCTCATATTCGCCTAGTTTATTCGACCTACCATCATATCCAAATGTAGGAGTTTGAATGGTGGAAGAGGTTAAACAATGTTTTAGATTTTCCACAATATTTGAAACACTCAGATAAATTGTGCATTCTTTGTTGTTTCGTAAAATACATCGTGGAATTCCTCCGTGTTATCAAGTCATACCTAATGTTACTAATCGATGTTGTAGATACCTTTAGCAGGGAAGTGTTTTTGGTGAATAATTTCCGTTAAACTTTCTATTTAGTAATCGTTATTGTTATTACCGTATTACCAAACACAATTTATTGTCAATGTAGTTTTTGGTATTATTTATTTTCCAGTGCTGTGTTGTTAGTTTATTTAAATGCGTTGCCTTTGCTGCTTTTATTTTGAAATACTAAAACGTGATGGTAAGAATCTAAAGACTAATATCTTTCGGGCTATCTAACTTATTTCACTGTTAGTTGGTTAACATTTAATATTGTATCACATTTATTTAATAATATCTTCTATTGAGTTATTATACAGTCACATTTGTGTACATCGTTTAAGGCCTTTTCCAAAATAAATGCATATAACACATCAAAATGAAGCTTAGAGTGTGTAGATTTCCCGAAAAGTATTCGTATTAAGGAATTTCCTTAGGGATCTGCTCCACAGACAGATTTCCTTAGGGGTCCACCTTATACATGCTTCGAAAGTTTAAATGATTTAATTATTAAAATTAAACAGCTAATCGATGCAATTATCAGGAATTTGTATATTAACTTGAAAGGTTTTTGCTTTACTTAAGACTGACTTGTTATATTAGCAGAGTAGTTAAATACAGAGGACACAGGACATAGGAAGGACATAGAACATTGGCCTCGCATGACAGTCAAAAGGTCTATGGTTCGATCCTGAGAAAAGTCAGCAGCTTTTTGATGGTTCGAAACTGGACCCAGCTGTTCCTGATCATTGGGCTTTCAATAAATGGTCCTGGCTAATGAATCAGCTGATACTACTGAAGCTACACAGACCATCTCACACCATTCTACACTCATTCTTCACTCATATTTGGGTTAAAATACACACCTAGGGTGGCGTCCCCATCACAATGATTGATAATTGATAATAATAACTGAGGAAATTTTTGTATTTAGGAAAAGGGCTATAAAGAAAGGTAGTTAAGGTTTTGTAGAAAATGTCTTACAGTTTCTTTGTAATTCAACAATAAATTATTTCTAGATAAAAATCGTATGACTTTTTCAACACATGGCAAGACAGTGTTATAAAATATGTTATTTTTTGTAGAACATTTATTGCCCCTCTAATGCAGCACGGGTCACACTGTTTCCGGTTGACAGTAAGGTCCAGGTGGGTCTTCTCACTGCTTCCGGGTCTCGGGCTGAGACGAGAATAGTGTCTTGCTGCTCTTCTTGAGATTCAGGTATGTCAGGAATGTTACTGTCCGAATCTCCAGCGAGTAAACTAATGCCCCCTTCAATTTATAGAATAACGATTTTGCTCTAAGTAAGTTATTGAATCCATCTGTGTAGCCCCTGAGCTGTTGGACACAATGTAAGACTATTAAATTACTTACGTAATCCAGCCACAGCTCAATCCTGAAGTTGACGATGGTGTTTTAACACAGAAACATTTCCTGAATTGACATATTTTTATTGAGCTGTGACGGGATTACATAACTTAATGGCCGAAATAAATCTTGAATATTGAAGTAATTTCGTCTTTTACATTTAGTTATTGAGTTAGGCCTATGACCGTTAGCTAGTACAACACTGTAAATTAAATACTAAGCTATACATGGTGATTCGAAGTTGGCGTGGTAAATATTTGTTAGTTATTAGTAGTCTTATAAACAAATAGTTGATCTTTAGATACTAATTAATCCATGCAGCTCTGTAAAAAAGATCGCTTTACATAATCTAATGCGTCTGGGGATACCGATCAGCTGATATTACCCGTACTACGTCGGACAGAGATTCTCGGCTGCCGGACCTGGCCGTCACTTTAACTTGGAGCTTGGGGCGCATATAATAATTCCTCGTTTTCTGGTCTATCAGTGTTTCAAAAAATATTTACCTACGACCGTTTTTTAAAGTAGCCATTTCAGTCCAGTTCTTAGAATTGAAAAGTTTCACTTTACAGCTGTTTACTTTCATATCCGCATAGTTTCATTTCATATCCGCATAGTTTTCTCATATCCACACAGGTAACGGACCAATGAGGTTCAAGTATTGAGAGAAAAGAATTAAAATTGTAATGCTTCGAACGTCAACTAATCAGCTGATCAGCTGATCAGTTGACCAATTTAATTGTTGATCCGACTTGTTCATGGTGATACTCGCGTATTCTTCATTAAGTTGGTGGAAGTCCAAAAATAAATGAAATATTTGCCGAATTGTACCTGATACAATATTATTTATGGTAAGAATGCTGCTAGCAATGTAATATTTAACGAAGTTTAACAAACGCGTAATTACAGGAAATCAGCTGATTATACAACAAGTCGTTGCATCTCTTTCAGTGGCAATGACAATACACGAAAACATCTCTAAAAAGTTATCAGTAGTGATTGTTAGTAATTAAATCCAGATTGATAGTAATTAAAAAACGGTCGTAGGTAAAGTAGTGTACGCAACTCGCGTTAATAGTCTTTACGACACTCGTAGAAGTTTTTAAGGCACTCGCCAAGGCTCGTGCCTTAAATTTTCTACTCGTGTCGTAAAGACTCACTTAACGCAATCGTTGCGTAAACTACTATTCACACACTTACTTTTCCTTACTCCCAACTATCAGGGTTTTATTTGCCTACTAAGAACGCATTTTTCTTTTCAGTGTACATCCTACTAATATTATAAATGAGAAAGTTTGGATGGATGGATGTATGGATGTATGGATGTATGTTTGTGACAAGTGAACGCGAAAAATACTGGTCGGATTGGGCTGAAATTTGGCATGATGATAGCTCACATTCCCGATTAACATATAGGCATATTCTTATTTCAAAAATCCTTTCGGGCTCCGCCCCAGTGGCTCTGGAGTTTCCCATGTTAACCTTATGAGAAATGGAATTATTGAATCTTAACAGCTGTTTCAATTTTAACAAGTTGGTTCTGTTCTGTGATGTTCAATAGCATTAAAGTTACAAAAATTACCAACAGGGTGCAGCACTATTATTTCTTTTACATTTATGACAACAGCTAATTTGCAACCAAAAGGTGAGTGAGCGTAGCGAACGAACTTCAACCTGGAGGCGAGTTAGCGTAGCGAACGAGCTAACCTGAAGGCAAGTGAGCGCAGCGAACGAGCTCCAACCTAAAGGTGAGTGAGCGTAGCGAACGAGCTCCAACCTAAAGGTGAGTGAGCGTAGCGAACAAACTTCAACCAGGACGTGATTGAGCCATGCGAACGAGATACAGTAATCTTGAAAATTAAGAAGTTAAACGGGGCAAAGCCCGCGGGTTACAGCTAGTTATTTAATAATTTGGTGTATTATCAGCTGCTTTGCCTAAGAGCCTTTTATTACGATGGGGCCTTGTACGTGCACGAATTATTAGAACGGAAGAAAATACAGGACGGATCAATATGTTTATGAATCATACACATAAACAAACTACGTAACCGGCCCTAATAACATTAACATATTGTTTGGACAGTTCAATTTAAGAAATGTTAAATCATGTTTACTTTTGGGCCAGTGACATAATTTGTTTATGTTTATAATCCACACAGTTTTGTTTATATTATAATATTCGTGAGTACTTATTGTTTCAAATTCTTCTCGTTCTCGGTTTCACCTCAATAAATTAATCTCAATTTTCTCGTGGGTGAAATCACAGAATAAAGAATCTAAAGAGAGTTGAATAGGGCGTGATTTAAATATCTTTGTAGTGATCAAAAACTAAAAAAGCGATTGAAAAAAAGTGATTAAAAACAATACAATTGATTAAAAGCTGCACGAAGTGATTAAAAATGATACCAAACGAAACAGTTAAAAGAAATGATGTGATTATTCAGTGCCGTCTACTCTTTCTGTAGTGAAAAACAGTATTGGAGCGAGCAACGGGAGGAAAGCATGAAACTTTGGGTACTGTTAACAATACTGTACTGAGTAATAAAATATACTATTCAGATACAGAAATAGAAATAAGCTTCATCGTATTTCGCGGACTCCTACCCTCATGTATAAGACAGACAGTTGGGGTGAAGCATAGCCTGGGACATTAGC